GGGGCAGAGATGGCCGAAGCCACAAGGCAAAGTCTCCATGTGCACACAGGGAGCCATCACTGACCTTTGCTGAAAGAAAGGCTCTCAGACTCCTCCCTGGCACTTTCTGCGTCTGTAAATCGAAGCAAACGTAACTTCCTCCTTAAAGGGCTTCGAGTTCCACAGCTGGAAAGTGAACTATCCGAGGTAATCGTTAAGGACTGTGGATCACAGTTCAGTTTTGGCTCAGAGATGGTAGAGTTTCTGCTATTTCCTGACATCCTGAAGCCGAGGTCAGACTGAAGTCTGCGACTGCAAATGTGGCAGGATCCTTTGGCACAAAAAATGTCCATAGCTGGAGATGATCCAGTTCAGCTGCAACTGCTGTCTCTGGTCTAAACTCAGGGAATTCTCTTCTGCAGCTGATATTTTGCCTTTCATTCCCCTCTGGCATCCGTGCCTTTCCCACAGATCCACTGTGTGCTGCAATGGGATGTGTGGTTGGATCGAGGCCATGACAACTGTGTAGGAAGCAAACAAGAGAGCAGCCCTTTTCCCCAGGGACACAGGGGTTTGGGACAGGAACGTTGAATCCAGGCTTACAGCAAGTTCTGTAAGACCTGTGCACACTCACGGGTGGAAACAAACCCAGGTAGCTTTAAACAGCCTTAAAAATGGCCTGAAACTGGGTTTGATGTGTGACTGGAGACTGAAACCAAAGTGGTAAATTTAGAAAGCAGATTCTGTGGACTCTGCAAGAGGGAGATTTACCTGGTTATTGCGCCTTTTAAATCAAACTTAACTTTGTAGGGCTGCTGCATTACATTTTATGCTTCTCCTTTTAGGCCGAGACCCCAACTGTAGGTGTTGGCTATGGCTGCAGTTTATCAAGCACTGCACAGAAGAGCTTCCTCTCTCCTCTGCAGGTTACACTCCACCTATGTTAGAAAAATGAGGTAAGGTCTCATCTTGTTCTTCTCTGGGAGAAGACCAGAGCTTGGCACTTGTGCCCACTGTCACAAACAGCCCTACCTCACTCTAAGCCCTAAGATTTCAGCTTGGTCTTTACCCCTCACATCAGTGTGACAGGCAGAATGTACCCAGCAGGAGTGTTTGTAGCCTGATGGGAACTGTCTCCAACATGTGATGTGCACAACAGCCTGGTCAGCACTTGGAGCCATCCAGACTGGGGGATAAAAGGGAAGATCAAGGTTTCCTGCACACAAATGATCATGTCTTTAAAGCAGACCTTTTGGATTGAGAGACTGGGTTACTGATCTTGTCAGATATCCAAGACTTGAGGCTGTTCCTGTGGTAGTAAGAACTGCAGTGTTTTCTGCCACGCAGCCTTCCCTGGAGGCTGCAGTCCACCAAAGGGTGACTCAGCTGTCAAAACTCTCAAAGCATGTGGAACACTTAAATTTGCTCTGTCCACTCAGCCTCCCTGCTCTGTGCAAAGTCAATGCATCCAAATAAGCATAACACTGATAATCTCAACCTGATCTTGAATTCACCTTCCCAATCATTTTCTCACTGCAGATACTTAAATAAGCTAAAGGAAGATGACAGTCTTTGTAGACAAGCCCAGACCTCAGGAACTTTCTACCTCTTTCACAATCTCTCCCCCTTCCTGCAGAAAGCTGGGAAGAAATATTTGGTGCCACAGCTCAGTGCAGCAGGTAAGTAAGGAAAGAAACAGATACATTTGCAAGCAAGCCCTGATACAGGGGATGGAAATCCATGGTGCTGTGCAGGAACATCCTGCTGTGTGCAGCACTCTGTTTGTTAACAACCAGAGACTGTTTAGAGTTAAGACCTTGGCATGTGGACACAAGCTCATGCTCTTCACACACATGTGGTATCAACCTGATCTGTTTTGAGATGATCAGTTTTAAACATTTGGGATTATGCCTTGTGAAGAGAAAGGAAAACAAGCAAGGTCTGACTGATGAAGGGTTTTTTGTGTGAGGCAGGAAAAGTTTTCTTTGAGAGGAAGGTATTGGCTGGTGTAGGACAGAACCACTGACCTTGTCTGGTCCCTTCTCTCACGTGGGCCATGAGCCAAGATTGCCTGTGCCTCGAAGATCCAGAGGGCATCCCAGCTGTATGGATTTGCTCTGACCCCAGCTCTCTCTCCCCTTTCCCTGCTGTTTAGAGATGCGACGGGTCCTGGAGAAATCCCCCGCGGCTGAGCAGTGGATGGAGGAGTCGGTG